TGCATGGCCCATTCTGGGCAGCTGCTGCTGGCCAAGGAGGTCCGGGACAGCAGGGTGCAATTGTGCCCTGTCTGTACCCCTGCTGGAGCCCATAAGTCTAGTGGTCTGGGTCAGGAGAGCAGGGATGTAGGCAAGGTGGTGGCAGGTGCAAAGAGCCCTTCTGGGAAGTCAGGAGCAAGTGGAATGGCTGTTAACTGTGGGTGCCCTCAGTCAATCATGCCACTCACTGTTCCAGGCTTCGCTTTCCTCATTTGTCCTGGGGTAGGCGGAATGGCCACTGTCCTGCCCCCTTGACATCATTGGCAAGGGGAAGGCCAGGGAGGGGAAGGGCGGCTGGTGGAGAGGCTGGTGGATAGGGAGCCCCATCTGCCCTGGGTTGCCACAGGGAGGATGTGGATCAGTGCAGAGACTGTCACTTGTGGGCACGGTGCTCACAGGGGTGGCAGCCTTCTCCGGTGCTGAGGGGAGCTGACCCGTGTTTGTAAACATGGGGGTGTGAGAACACGCAGAACCATGTGTGTGAATGGCTTGTGGATGTGCATACGTGGGTGTGTCCCACACACAGACACACTAATTGACAGGAAGCCCACAGTGGGCTGGGCACAGGGAGGTGGGAGAAGGGAAGGAAGACTGAGGTGAGGACTTCTCTCAAGGAATACTCATAGTCTCATGGTGGAAGGGAGGGACCACCCGCTGCAAGTGGAAAGTGATTTAGGAACACAAAAGAGATCAAAGCCAACGTCTGGGGAGGCACAACAAATGCTGTGTGAGTGGAGAAGACGATAGAGACTAGAGAAGCCAACAGCAGGTGGGGGAGGCCTGGCTTAGCGGAACAGCCCTGTCGGGTTGTTCTAGACGGTGTGGTGGAGGGCCAGCGGCCGGGACTGGTGCTTGGAAGGTGGACAAAGCATTGCAGGTCTGGGAAGGGGAGAGTGAGGTGCCCAGGTGGGCAGTGGTGGGCAGGACGTGAGCAAAGAAGTGGTTCAGGGGTGTTCTGGCAGTATCCCACACGGAGGGGCAACTGTACGGGATGCAAATGAAAGCTACCTGGGAGGGAAGATGTCCCCCTCAGAGGGGAGTTCACTTGGAATCAGAGGGAGAAGGCCCAGCATATCACAGGCCTGAGATAATGCCGCCTGCAAATCTGGAAAGGCAAAGTGTGGCCTTTGGGACAAGCGTCACACAGCTGCCCTGTGATGTCAGGCCAGACGGCCCTTGTCAGAGCCACCACTTAAGGCTATTTAGGTTTCAGGGGTCTCCCTGCTCCTCCTGCACTGGGGACCAGTTATGCTCGTGCTGTTTGAATATCTCCCCTGACTCAGCGAGCACCACCTATCCACAGAGCTACACCAGGGTGACTTCACACATGCATGACAGCAGGGACACCATCACATGGTGACTTCTCACAGCACCTGAAACAGCGCCTTGCACACACTAGGCATCTGGCATCGGCTGAGTGAATGCAGAGGGCATAACTGAGTTATGCCAAGCGTGGTTCAGAAAGTGGCCAGAGAGGAAGGAGGTGTGAACGGTAGGAGGAGGGGTGGCAGGGCAGGGTTTCATCAGCTAGAAGCGGGTAGCTCTTAGCCCCTCCAGGGCTCTTGCTGTGTTCCTGACCTCCTGGTATCTGATGGAAGACTTCTACTAGGAAATGTCGGGGCTGGACGGCAGAGTCGAGACTCATCAGCTGGTCCCATTTATCGGGCAGAACAGGGAGGTGACGAGAGCTGGGGAAGCTGGGAGCAAATCAATTTCAGGTCATTCAATTGCAGATCAGCTAGTCCAATCCCTTATCTTGATGAGGTCGACACTGAGGCCCAGGGATGGGAGGTCGCTCGGCCAAGGTCACACAGTCAGAGTTGGGACTTCAAGATCTCCTCCTTTGCTGACCACATGTACGTTGTCCTGTGGAATCCTGGTGAGAATTCTGAACAATACCATCCCCGCACCTGTCTACATCGTCATGGCCGGCTCTATTAGGATCACCGCAAGCCCCCTTCTCCACCCTAAGCCTGTCATTCACCCGCAAGATCCAGGGAGGGAAGAGGCCTGAACAGGATGGGGTTCGGTGGCCCGTCTGCCATAGCTGCTCCTCTACCTGGCTTCTGTAGGGTGACTTTTCCCCTCGAGTCTGTAGAAGCTGTTCCTTCCTGTTCACGCAGGGGACACAAGCAGCTGGTTAAACCACACTGCTTCCCCAACCCCTGACACCCCGCTTCCTCCACGGACTCCCTCCCATGGAGAGAAATCTAGATCAAGGCAAGTCCTGGGGCCTGTGTTCACTGGCAGGACCCCAAGCTCTGGCCTCCTGAGCACCAGTCCAGCCCTGGGCTCCATGAGTCCCCAGGCACTGTCCAGGTGCTTCAGAGAGCACCAGGCCCTCAGCGTTTCAATGTTGTGCAAGGACCTGGGGTTTCTGCTTTTGCGATTGCCCCAGGTTCATCCACACCTCACTGCCTCGTGTCTCGACTCGTCAGGGTCCTCTCTCGTCAGGGTCACTTCTGCCTGCCCCTCCAAGTTCATCATCTCCAAAGAGTGACTTCTGAGTGTTGCTTCTCCGGTGAATAATCTCTAATGACTTCCCGGAGTTAACCCAAAAAAGCCACTCCTCTGCCGGACTTTTGAGAACCCTCTTTTTCTCCTTCCTTCCCCTCCATTTTCTCACTTAAAAAATAATCTGCATCCGTGGTTTCTCCAGCCCAGAGCTCCTCTTCCTTCACTCAGGGATTCAGATCTCCTCCTTCTCTAGGGCCCAGCCCTGCTCCAACCTCCTCCCTGTGGCCTCGGGGCCGTAGAAATTTGTAGAACACTTGGAGCCAACCCCTCATTTTCTAGATGAGGAAACCGAGGCCTAGTGAGGTTCATTGATTGACCTCAAAGAGAAATCACTAGCTAGAGAGAGGAGAGTCCAGATTACCTCACTCTATAATAAAACACCTTTGTACCCTCTCTGGCCGGAGAGGGTACAGTGTTCTGGAGGGAAGAAGATGACAGGAAGGGAAGAGCTCTGTCCCTGCGTCCACAGATCTCCAACTGTCTTTACAGTTAGAATCACGCAATTAAGTGTTTAATTACAACCTGCTCTGCATTGTTGTTTAATTGTTTCCAAAGTAGACTGTAAGCCGCTTGAGGGCAGGGAAAATTCCTGGTGCCCTTGACTGTGTCTTCTCTGAAGTTCCCAGCACAGTGCTGGGCACATGGAAGGCATCACGTGGCAGGATTGGGACCGTGGCTGGGGCTTTCTTCTGGGAGGGCCATTTTCAACTCCATCCAGATGCAAGTCCAGTTCCTAAGTTCCCCATGGATGAACGGTGGGTCAAGGCGTGGGGTGGAGAAGTATACAAGACTAAACAAGGGTTTCAGGCCCAGCGCATGCCTTTCCCCTTCCTTGCTTGATCATCAACATCCTGGGAGGGTGGGTCAGGCTTTGGCTGGTCCCTCAGGCCACTGTGTTTTCTGGAGGACAGGCGGCGGTCAAGCCTCAGGATCCCCCAGTGTGCAGAGTAGGGAAGTATCTTTGCATCTGCAGCTCTCTTCTACCCTTTCCGTCCCTCCTCATGGCATCTCCTGATGCCCTGTCCTTCCCTCCATCCTGTCTTCAGAAAGCACTTGCCCCCGCAAGAGGCTCCAGTCCTGGGCATAGGCATGGTGACCCCGGAGTCTTACGGTGGGGCTCAGAGGCATTGCCTCATTTTATGAGAACGCCACGGGTGGGGGAATGTCATAGGCTGAGGCCATGACATAGACCAGTACCCAGGGTGCTAGAGACATTTTTTCTTGGTCTGGGCAAGATACATATTTTGTTTCCTTCTCTCTGCATCTAAACTTAAAAGTGTGTCTTTGGCAAAGCCGTTTAAACAGATTTGCAGATTGGCAAGGCACTGAGGGCACCTGGGGAAGGTTCACCTGTGGAAAGTTTGCACCAACTCCCCTGCCAGGGTGACCTAGAGCCTTCTGTGATTGGTGGGCCCTGCTTGGCACATCTGAAGGGCCCCGTCGCTCAACATGTGCCTTTCTAAGCTCCGTGTTCCTCTCCTCTGGGGCCTCGGGCATCCTGGTTGTAGCAATACCTGTGCCGGCTTCCCAGTGGGTGGATGTTTGGCCAAGGTCACTGGGTGAGAGGAAACGGCTGACGACACCCACCTACCCACTCGCCTTCCTGCCAGCCCGGGGGACGTGCTCCTTGCACTCTCAGATGGCATTGGTGCAGCCTCTATTGTCCCCCTTTCCCTAACATTGGAGAGGTGATATAGTGCATAGGGGTGGCTTTATTTCCCGTTTGCTGGAAGAGAAGTCTAAGGCTCAGATGGCAGGTGGGGGAGTCGGGGGCACGGCTCACACGGGTTCAGGTGAGTCACTGCGCATGTTGCAGGGGCCAAGTAGCCACGGCTCCTGCTCCCTGGCGCTGGTGGTGGGAGGACCGAGGCCAGGCAGGCGGGATTTGCCATTAGGAGGCTACAGGAGTTGGTCTGCTCCAGAGGCCAAGGAGGGCTACTCAGAGAAGCTAGTGGAGGGGGGATGGTGGGGGACATCTGCACCCCATCACTGAGATGGCATAGCCGACCCAATAATTAGCAAACTGTGAGGATAGACCGGCAGGGTGGCATTCCAGGGCCCTCTTGCCCAGATCAGACTCAATTACAGAGTACAATGACTTGCCAAAGTTCTGGGGCAGCTGCCTGTACATGCCATGCAAAGTTTCAGGGTACTCTTCTCCCTGGCTCCAGTCACCACCTTTGAGACTCTGCCTTACGTACCAACCCACCCAGCTAGAGCCTCCACATTGGTCTGCAGGACTTACTTCTCAAGGGAGACCGCATCTGATGCCAGCATGTTTAGGGCACTCATTCCAATTGGCTCCCAAGAAACACCAGCCTTTGACCCCAGTTCCCAAGGCTAATGAAGGGGGTCAAGGTCCCAATTTCCCCATAAATGCATGAAGCATAAGTTCCACCCCAGAATTCACCCTGGTGGTGGCTGGAAGGATCAGAAGGTCTTACCTCGAGTTTTGTTTTCCTTGGGAAGGAGAGAGATGACTTTTCCTTCCTGAAGGTAGACGAAGAACTGGTAGCGATGGAAGCCACTGTGTGCTGGCGGGGAGGGAGGCTGGTAGGCTACAGGCAGAAGAAGGAGAGAGGTGGGCATCACATCCCACAATACCCAGCGCAGAGCTCTCTCCCTTCCCATGGTCCTACTGACCTCCCTGGGGTCCCAGATCAAAGCTCACCTGTGCAAACCATTGGGATTTGTATTTGATGGGATCTCACCTTCAGTGTCTTCATTTAAGAAGTACATGCATTGGTGAGGGTGACAGTGGGGAGAAGGTGGTCTGAGAGGAAACACCCTGAGCTAGCTTGAAGGCCTCGGGTGCTGGCGTGGCTCCCAGGCCTTTACGGGCTAGTGGGTGTGGGCATTGTCCTGTTTTTGCTTTAGTCTATCCTGATGGACTTCCTGCCTCAAGAGAAGCCCATCTTCCTCCATGAGTGTGTTTGGCAGAGGATTTTTATTTATTTTTTCGGCATTTCCTTATGAACTCAATCCCCAAAGAAGCCAATTTCTTGGCTGCGTCTGGAGGATCTGGAAATGGTTATGAGGGTGGGTGGGACTGGGTTCAAAGGTTTGATCATGGGAGCTGTAGGAGCTGGGCGCTTGCGGCACCAGGGAGAAGGCCCCTCTCCCACTCCTTCCCTCTCCCTGAAGGAGGCTGGGCTTTTTTTTCTGGGGGAAACATGGGGTGGGCACATCCTTCATTCTTCCTCTAAGTCTATGCAAAGAGTCAAGTTCCTGCTGGCCGGGCCTGGGTCTTTCAAGGTGGGCCTCTTTCACAGAGTACTTCACCCCTTCCCACTCCCCTTCCCTCTCTCCAGCTTCCTTTCCAAGCAGGAGAGCCAGGCTGGAGCCAAGAATCCTCCTGGGTGGGTGGGAAAGAAGCATTTGCAATGAGGATGTTGGTGGGAGGGAGTATGGGTCCTTTATGACCACCTCCCCTTCTTTCCTCTCCTGATCATTAAACAAAAGTATGACTTGCTGCTTGAAGCCACTGGAAGAGTCTCTCACTGTGTACTTCCGGCCACTGGTGGTCCCCAGCATGCCAACAGCTGGGGAATTCCTGACTATTCATCTTTCCCTGCATTTTTGGATCACAGATCAGATGTGTGTGTGTGTGTGTGTGTGTGTGTGTGTGTGTGTGTGCACATGCGTGTGTACACTCAGAATGAGAGCAGAGCTGGGTGTGCAGAGATCCATGTGAGCGTGTGTGTTTGGGGTCTCCACTCGGGGTGGGTGTGCACACATGAAGAGCCAGTGTGCAAACGCCCTGAGGCTGATTTGGAGGGCCTGTGAGTGTGTGCGTAAATGCAAGTTGACTAGCATTTTTTCCTAAACACCGCCAGTGCTGAGAAAGACTTCTGAGCACAGTGGGTGCCAGGGAGTCTCCTCGTGTGTGTGGGTATGGAGGGCAGATGGGACAAGTCAGTGTGGGTGAGGTGGGTGGGCATGTGGGCTGTGGGATGCACTCCACGGTGGGCACACTCCACACTGCCCAAAACTGGTGACGTTGGTTCTGTGCGGACAAGTTTGAAGTAAGAACTCATTGGTTCTGTGCAATGGGGAATTTATCCTCAAGGGAGACAGAGACTAATGCTTCTCACTAGGGCTTTCCTGGAGAATCCCCTCTTCAGAACCTCTAAAGGCGGAGGAGTGAGGCGTGGGGAGGAGGGGAAGTGGTTCACACATGCTAGGCCACTTCTCTGGGCCAGGTCCTGGGCTGTAGGCCTTCACTTATGACGTCTCCTCCACTTTCCCATTTCCTGGAGGCTCTGAGAGGTGAAGCCAGGCCAACAGTGAGTGGTGGTGCTGGGATCTGAAGCCAGGCCTGCTTGGTGCCCAAGCCCAAGCTGTTTCTTGGAACTGCAAGGTGAGGTCTGGTGCCCAGTCCTGTGCCAGAGGCTGGCTCGCTACCTGAGCATCCCTTTCAAGGTAGGTTGGGGGCGTCCTCCTGGGGCAGGGATCTGAGAGAGGGGAGCTGGAGGGGAGATGGGGTGGACAGGGCTTACAAGCAGCCTCCAGTCAGATGGTCCCTGCACTGTGACGCTGGCTGCATTCCTTCCCAGCCGTGCACACGGCGCAGGATGGTCTGTGCCTCACTATTATCTTCTTTAAAATGGGGACACTGGTGGCAGTGACCATAAAAGGCAGCTGTGGAGATGAAATCAGGGCATCCAAGAAAACTCTCAGGCTGGCGCTAGCATACGACAGAGCAGTGCCATGAAGTTTTCATTTCTGTGATTGTCACTGGTGCCTTGGCTGGGGGAAGGCAACCCTAGGGTCTTACTCACCTGATAACTCCTGGCCCTGAATCTTCCCTTTCTTCAGGTCAGCGCCCTGAAAGAAGAGACAGACAGCACATGGGTTACACCTGGGATGCACTTCAGGCCACGTGGGCTCTGCGGGGTTCCTTCTCTCTCTGAGGGAGGAGGGTGGGAGAGGAGGAGGATGTATGGCTGCTTTTGGGAGACAGGGCAGTGCGTGGGGTTTTGGAGTGGGATCTCAGGGGATCCAGGGAGAGAGGACAGACATAGGTGTTGCTGAGGGTGGCCTGGAGGCAGATGGACACTTTCCCTCTAGAGAGGCCCTGTAGGACACTTCCCAAAGGGCTGTCACACAATCCCCTCAGTGCCTGAGACTGGGCGCTGGACATCACCTGCAGGGTCTGGTCAGATCTAAGGGAGGCGCTTCCATCTATGGTTCTCTGGATCTTGCTGAGGAGCCCATCCTCTCTGGAGGGAGGATCCCACTCCCTTTGGAGCCTTTAGAATATCAGGCAATGGACTCTGAGCAACCAGTGGGGGAAGGGAAGGCAGGAGGAGGCTACACTGCCTGATGCTGCGGCAGCTTCTCCCCAGCTTCAGTTAACTCAGCCCACAACCCTGGGGCAGTGTCTTTGGTCACTGGGACAGCCTCAGTTTCCCTCCTCTCTTTCCCTCCCTCCTCCCTTCTCCTTGGTGTTTGTGGGATAATGAGGTGACCCTGGGGGTTGGTGCTAATTACTGTTTGTGCAGGATTGGGAGATGCTCAGATGAAAGAGACTGGAGCTGGGCCCCTGGGTCTGTGCCATGGCTCAGGGCCCCCAGGCCATGCCAGGGAGCCCTGCGGCCCCTAGGTGTGGGGTTTTATAGCCTTAATGAAGGTGATTAGCGTGGCTCTTAATTGAGTCTGCCGACACCTAACTGTGCCCTGGCTACCTTTTCACCAAGCCTAGAAGAGAGGCTCATGGGATGCTGGGAGGATGGGGAGAGGTGGGAGGCCCTGTTGATGTGGGGGCAGGTGAGATCCAACCCCCTAGCCTGAGGTTTACCTTTTATAGAACTAAAGTCCTACTCGCCCAGTCCAGAACCCACTAGATCTCCTTCCCTTCAGACTGCAGCTTGTCTGTTACTGTCCACACTTGGGGCCTCTTGGTCAGATATCCCTCTCCCAAGGCTGGTTTCTATAGACCTAGTTCCCATTTGGTTGGAAGAAGGGGCAGGAGACTGTGGAAGAATAGACCTTTCCACCACAAGCCCCTTGCTCTTTTTCTTCTTCACCTGAGGCAGGTGAGATAGATTCCTCCCTCCCTCGCTCCCTCCCTCCCTCCTTCCCTCCTTCCCTCCTTCCCTCCTTGCTTCTTTCCTATCTTCCTTTCTTAATTTTTGGATTCTTGCTCTGTCACCCAGGCTGGAGTGCAGTGGCATGATCTCAGCTCACTGCAACCTCCGCCTCCCGAGTTGAAGCGATTCTCCTACCTCAGCCTCCTTGGTAGCTGGGATTATAGGTGCCCACCACAACACCTGGCTAATTTTTGTATTTTTAGTAGAGATGGGATTTCATCTGTTGGTCAGGCTGGTCTTGAACTCCTGACCTCAGGTAGTCAACCCGCCTCAGTCTCCCAAAGTGCTGGGATTATAGGCGTGAGCCACCGTGCCTGGCTGTGGTCTCTTTCCTTGAACCTCCTTCCACTCTCCCTCATCCTGTTGTTTTCTGCTCAGGAGAATCTGGGTAGCTCTCCATGTCAGTCCCACCCGTATGGTGGTGTGCACTCCGGCTCTGCCTCACTCCCCATTCAGCATAGTCCCCCGACTCCCAACATTTTGGGCCTGGCATTATCCAGGCCCGGGTGCGACCAAGGGCTGTGGCCTGAGACAAGGATAAGGGGGTTGAGAATGGAAGCCCGTCTCCTTGACACCCATCTGCTCCAGGAGAGGAGGGAAGGCCTTCACAGATGCCTAGCAGCCACTGTCCCTACAGAGCTCTTCTGCCACCCTAGCAAAATGGAGAGGTCTGGGACTAAGCTCAGGGAAGCCCCGCCCAGCCCAGTCTGCCCTGAGCTCCTCAGCCTTCCCTTACTCCTTTCCAAGTCAGTCCAGCCAGCGGTTTGTTTAAAGAAAACAATAGCAACCTAAGCTGGCTGTTTTTTTCAATTTCCCCCAGGCTTGTATCCCACCCAGAGTGAGGCCGGGAAGTGGGTAAGGGTGGGGGCCGGGGCTCATCAGGTCAGGGAGCTGGTTTGTGTGGAGCTGGAGCGGGTAGAAAGGCTGATCTGGAGCCCTGATGGGTTGGGAAGGCTCTCTATCCCCACCCTTTCACCCTAGGGAGCTTTTCTGATCAATCGGGGCCAGCGTAGGCAAAGACTCTGCAAATCCTTACATTGGGTTCGCTCAGGCAAGCCACCGACCCTTCCTAGCCACCCAGCAGACCCTGTGCTTGACTGAGACACTGATGGCAAATGGACTGTTCAGGTCCCCCCTGGAGCTAATCCCATGGATGGGCGCTGGTTCTCACTGGCAGAAAGAATAGGGGAGGACTTGATGGCAGAGGGGCCCCCACACGGCATGGGGTCAGCAGCTGTGATTTGCTCGGATTGTCTTGAGAATTGCCTAAGCTCCCTTTGGCCATAAACCTTCCTTCATTGGTCAGTCCTGGAGGGGCTACAATTTCTACCATAGAATCAACACCTGTTAGGGGGCTTAGAAAACTAAATTCTAAAAAGTAAGAAAGTTGGGCTCCAGAGGGGAAAAATCCAAAACATTCAAAGGGTTTAGACCCCAAGTCCTTCGAGATCAGCTGACTCAAGTTCTCATGCCCTTTGACCTCAGTGCTGTCCTGTGCTCTTTCTGTGACATCGTGACAATTCCATCATTTCTATGGGAGGCATAATTTTCTGAAGACCATTATTAAAATACGGAGATATTCTGGAGGGCTGGGGCTGCAGTGAAAATGGGGACCTCCCGCCTGATTTACAGCTCTTCTAAAATAGCTTCATGATGGCCAAGCGCAACGGGTCACACCTGTAATCTCAGCACTTTGGGAGGCTGAGGTGGGCGGATTGCTTGAGCCAAGGAGTTAAGACCAGCCTAGGCAACATAGCAAAATCTCATCTCTCTACAAAAAAATGCAAAAATTAGCTGGGCATGATGGCCCATGCCTGTGGTCTCAGCTACTTAGAAGACTGAGCTGGGAGATCACCTGAGCCCAGGGAGCTGATCCTGAGCCATGACGGTGCCACTGCACTCCAGCCTGGATGACAGAGTGAGACCCTGTCTCAAGTCACATACATGGATTAGAATGTCACTTCTAGTCTGCGATCACCCTAGAAAGCTGAAACTCTCCAGGGATGGATGAGATTCAAGGAAGTTTCAGGAGCTAAGAGGGAGAATTCTGTAGTTTTGACTACTGCTCAGGGCTGCTGGTCTGAGAAGAGACAGGCTTTGGAAGGAGACCCAGAAGGAGGTTGAAAGTTGAGCTTTCTCACCTTTCAGAATTTCGTTTCTGAAGGCCCCCACCGGGTGTTGATTCTATGGTAGAAATTTTACCTCCTCCAGGACTGACCAGTGAGGGGAGGTTTATGGCCAAACCTGCAGGGTCTGCTAAGAGCTCCGCCACACCGTGGGCCTCGTCACTGTGGCCTTGCTGCCTCCCCCAGCCCGGACTCCAGATGTGCTCTTGCCTCTTTAAGATGGGCTGAGCACAGAGACCACATCTCCTTTCCCTTCCTATAGCTAAGACAGGCTGACATTTTCAAAAGGAACATGTTTAAATGCTAAGGTTAAAAAAAACTAAAATATAGTTGACCCCTGACCAACATGCGTTTGATTTGTGTCCACCTGTAAACACGATTTTTCAACAAAAGTCACACTGAGTGTGCCCGCCTTTCCCACCTCCCCTTCCACCTCCGACACCTCTTCTGCCTCTGCCACCCCAAAAGAGCAAGACCAACCCCTCCTATTCCTCCTCCTCAGGCCACTCAATGTGAAAACGATGAGAATGAATATCTTCATGATGATCCACTTCTACTTCATGAATAGGAAATATATTTTCTCTTCCTTAAGATTTTCTTAATGGCATTTTCTTTTCTCTAGCTTACTTCATTGTAAGAGTAGAGTATAGAATACATGTAACATACAAAACATGTTAATTGATTGTTTACTTTATTGGCTTCCAGTCAACAGTAGGCTATTAGTAGTTAAATTTGGGGGGAGTCCAAAGTTATACTCGGATTTTTGACTTTGTTGGGGGTGGCACCCATACCCCCTCATTGTTTAAGGGTGAACTGTAATTATAGAAATTACAGGCAACAGACACATAGTTCAGTTTTGCATCCTCAAGAACGCTGAAAAGCCCAGGGTGGGTTTCTCAGGAGAGCACGCCAGGTACACCAAGCTATTTGTAGGATGCCTTGGAGGACATTCTGGGCCCTTCTAAGCATCTGGGACTGGAGTGCCTGGGGAAGGCAATTCTTTCTCATCAGCATCCTCTGGAGTTGGGGAGTCTGAGATACCCATGACTCCCCTAGTGAGGGAAGGGAGGAGGAGGTGAATTCCTTAGAAGGAGCCTCCAATGCTCAGGGTCTGAGAAGAATAGTAGTCATCGCATATTCTCACTTTGGACAATGAGAACACGTGGATACAGGGAGAGGAACAAGACACACACTGGGGTTGGTCAGGGATGGGAGAGGGAAGGAGAGCATCAGGATAGATAGCTAATGCATGTGGGACTTAATATCTAGGTGATGGGTTGATAGGTACAGCAAACCACCATGGCACACGTTTATGTATGTAAGAAACGTGCACATCCTGCACACGGACCCCAGAACTTAAATAAAATAAAAATTTAAAAAAAGAAAAAAAAATAGTAGTCACTCCTTTTTCCTAGAAGCTGGCCACCGTTGTGTGTGTGTATGCACATGCGTGTGTGCATGTGCGTGTGTATATGTGCACGTGTGTGAGTGTAGGGTACCTGGTTTGTGCATGACTGCTTGGCACAGGACTAGGCGCAAATTACTCTAATTGCAGAGAAGCAGCTGAACACTGCAGACACTTTGGAGGTGCTTCTGGGTTCCTACAACA